GATTTGCCAACTACACATCAAGTTAGTTGTGACCAACATGGTTGTTTGGTTACTCGCGTTGTTTCTTTGATGTTCAGACTTTATTAGACTAGAGTATGGACATGTCCAATACCATGGCATGTCCATAGCAAGCAAACGATGACATTCTGGCCTATGTGCCGGTAACGTTGACATTCTCAGATGCAACTCATTGACCGTATCTTACTGACCATATCTCACTGACCGTAACTCACTGACCGTAACTCACTGACCGTAACTCAATGACCGTAACTCACTGACCGTAACTCACTGACCGTAACTCACTGACCGTAACTCACTGACCGTAACTCACTGACCGTAACTCACTGGCCGTAACTCTAGAATATTTTTGTTCACTTGCTCCTGAGTTTAGCTCTAGCTTAACTCATAACTTCTATAAGTTAGCACGGGTAAGACAGAGCTTTTTGTAGTTGACACAAGTCAGCCGTAGCTGCTGTAGCTTCTTGTGTACACACCAGTTTACCAGGCTTACAGCTTGGGGAGTTTCGGAAAAAAAAATCTATTGAAAAAAACTTCTCTTGCGATCGTAATAAAATATAGTCAAAAAAACAAACGTGCGCAGATGAAGAGTGTGAAGTTTCTCATTAAGATAAGACAAGCGTTAGACCCATTGGTTATCTGGACAACATCGCATTAAGCATTAGGATTAAGCGCCAGAGGGAATTGCACGGCACAGACATCAAATATTGACCGATAGACAGAAAGTAAACAGTTAATATCTTGTAACAACGGGCCCCACCGAGCAATGTTTGAACTTCGCGCTCTAAGCACGCACTACTCCGGGTGCAAATAAAGGGTTCAGGGTCCCTGCTTTAGCTGGGGTCTTTCCTGTATTTGTGAGCAACACAACTGGCAAGTCATCGCCTGTCTCGGACAGGGCAGGGCGGGACACACGTCATTTGGCAGGGACCAACACACGCCACAGGGCGGGGATCGACACACGAGTACAGGGCAGGGATAGATATACGTCATTTGGCAGGGTCGGACACACGTCATTTGGCAGTGTCGGACACACGTCATTTGACAGGGTCGGACACACGTCTTTTGACAGGGTCGGACACACGTCATTTGGCAGGGCTGGACACACGTCATTTGGCAGGGACGAACATACAAATACAGGACAAGGAAGGACACACATCAGGGTGCAGACCTGGCCTGACTGATATTTCCATGGAATACTCCAAAACAATGTTAAAAGTCCCCGATACAACAATGTGTGTAATGAAGCCGACCGCATTGATGGGAGAGACACGGTGTTAGGGGGAAACCAATGACTGGTGGAAGAGACACACTGTGGTAGGGGGGACCAATGAATAATGGAAGAGACACATTGTAGTAGGGGGGACCAATGAAAAAAACTGAGCCGTTTTGAGCACCGCGCAGCTAATTTTCACTTAAATGTGTGTTTGTGTCTGTAGGCTGTAAAATTTTGCGCACAAAAAAATTGATGCTGTAAAAATTTGCACATAACTATGATTTTGCTCACGAACCAACAAAACTTAGAGGGAACATTAATAGGGACTCCATTTTCTAGGTTTGTGAAATTCATTCATTGTGAATCTCATTAAAATAAACTAAAATTCCTCACACATATTTGAAATGTGCGCCATGATTACGGGCAGCTTTTCATTTTAAAATTGTTGCAAACGATGATACTAAAAATAGAAACGACTGCTTCATTTCTGTATAACTCTACGTCTTAAGGGGTGCTGTTTGCAGCATCTCAAGGGGGGCTGTTTGCAGCATCTCAAGGGGTGCTGTTTGCAGCATCTCAAGGGGTGCTGTTTGCAGCATTTCAAGGGGTGCTGTTTACAGCATCTCAAGGGGGGCTGTTTGCAGCATCTCAAGGGGGTGCTGTTTGCAGCATCTCAACGTCAAAGGGTACTGTTTTGCAGCATCACTCAACAGTTTTATTGAAATGAGTACTGCATTCTCTCAGGTGCCACTTAAATTATTATCTCTGTCTTCGGCAACACACCAGCTGACGGTCTCATTGCCTTGATGTTATGTGCGCTTAAAAACATCTCCTGCATGTACCTCACCAGTTCAAACATATAATATATAGCAACCGCGTTCTAATTGGAAAGCTGTTAACGGTTTTACAAGGCAGAGTCCTCACTTAGGGGAGACAGAGGGGAACTATATTCCCCTCTCCAATCAGCTGGAGGCGCCAAAATGGGATATGGTGATAATTAATTGATGAAAACAATTGGTTTTAAGAGTTGGGGAAGGGGCGAAATTAATTATCCCCAGGACCCCAAACACTGTGGCTCCGCCTCTGGGACGCGGCTTCTAGCTGTTTAAGCAAAAACCGTGCTATCAATATTACACTATGTTTGGAAAAAGAACCCTGGCAGGATTGTACCGGTACTAGTTAGGGTACAGTGCGTTACTAACACAAGTCATATGAACGTCGATACTATTGTACCGGTACCAGTTAGGAAAGACTGTGTTACTAACACAAGTCATGGGAACGTCGATATTATTGTATCGGTACTAGTTAGGGTACACTGTGTTACTAACACAAGTCATATGAACATCGATATTATTGTACCCGTACCAGTTAGGAAAGACTGTGTTACTAACACAAGTCATATGAACGTCGATATTATTGTACCGGTACCAGTTAGGAAAGACTGTGTTACTAACACAAGTCATAGGAACGTCGATATTATTGTACCGGTACCAGTTAGGAAAGACTGTGTTACTAACACAAGTCATAGGAACGTCGATATTATTGTACCGGTACTAGTTAGGAAAGACTGTGTTACTAACACAAGTCATAGGAACGTCGATATTATTGTACCGGTACTAGTTAGGGTACACTGTGTTACTAACACAAGTCATATGAACGTCGATATTATTGTACCGGTACCAGTTAGGAAAGACTGTGTTACTAACACAAGTCATAGGAACGTCGATATTATTGTATCGGTACTAGTTAGGGTACACTGTGTTACTAACACAAGTCATATGAACGTCGATATTATTGTATCGGTACTAGTTAGGGTACACTGTGTTATTAACACAAGTCATATGAACGTCGATATTATTGTACCGGTACTAGTTAGGAAAGTGTGTTACTAACACAAGTCATGAGAACGTCGATACTATTGTACCGGTACCAGTTAGGAAAGACTGTGTTACTAACACAAGTCATAGGAACGTCGATATTATTGTACCGGTACTAGTTAGGAAAGACTATGTTACTAACACAAGTCATAGGAACGTCGATATTATTGTACCGGTAATAGTTAGGAAAGACTGTGTTACTAACACAAGTCATAGGAACGTCGATATTATTGTACCGGTACTAGTTAGGAAAGACTGTGTTACTAACACAATTCATAGGGACGTCACCAACCTTGGGATTTCTGGTTTTGATTCTTTTCAGTAGTTTTGTGTACAAATTCTCATGTGTACAAATTCTAATGGGTACAAATTCTCATGTGTACAAATTCTAATGGGTACAAATTCTCAAAGACAAAGTTTTTACGAACTCATAAGGACCAGTGCCATCTTAAGACATGGGCAGTTGCACAGGACATCACGCTTCTAGAGGCCTCACGCTTCTGGTGGCCTCACACTGCCAGAGGGCTCACGCTGCTAGAGGCCTCACGCTTCTAGGGGGCCCAATTTTCTAGACGGCTCACGCTTCTGGTGGCCTCACGCTGCCAGAGGGCTCACGCTTCGGGAGGTTTCACGCTTCTCGAGGCCTCACGCTTCTAATTAAGGGGCCTCCATTTGCCCATATTGTTAATGAATTTTAAAAGATCCGTAGACAATGTAATTTTGTTTCAAAGTGCAGTCCTGGGAAAAAGGTTCCCAAATGTGTGTGAACAAGTTTTTCGATGTTCATATCAATTCTTGTTATAAAAGTTTTAGAAAAATCGTCTATTTAAATTTTTTTGGGGTTAAAAATCCAGTGATTTAGGAGGAGGGTGTGTGGCAAAGGTGTTAATATAAATTAAAGAGATTTACAAAAGCCGTCATACATTTATGAATTAGTAATTTATATGAAGAAAGTCACGCAAAGCAGTCGGCGTGGCTTGCTTTTGGAGGCCCCTTGCATTCATAGATATTAGTAATAGTTAATTAATTTCCACATCACAACTTTGCCCCTATTAAACACCCGAGGCCACCTGCAAAGTTTCAAATGATGCGAAACTCAATTCAGGCGATGAGCTTTCAATAATTTATGTTTAAATTTACTTAAGTTTTTTTTCCTTGGGGTGGGAATGGTAGTCGGGGGGGGGGGGGGGGGTGAAATAATTAATGGATGGCCCCTCCTTACATTTTTGTTGTTGCGATTTACATTCATTACTGTTTTTTTCAACGTTCATTTGCTTAATTTAGGCACCCGTAGCAGGTTATGTTTAAAAAATTGATGGAAACTTAGACTTAGACAAAACTGATTAACTGTAATATTTATTTAATTAAATACCTTTAGTGACATACTACATTTTAAAATTATTTTTAATTGATATTTAAAAACTCTTAAATTTCTTATAACGTAATTTTTCATAATCCAGTTTTGTGTACATCTTTTATTGTTCCTATTTTAAGCATTTGCTGCAAGAAATAATAATAAAACGAGGGCTTAAAAGAAATAAAATAAGTGACTTTGCATTACTTTCTTAATTTATAGCCCATGTATATCATCTCATATTTTATAGGGTACCAGTGAACAGAACTTAAAACGGCCATTAGGGCAGCGAACCACTTACTTATGTTAGACGTTTATTTCAATCCAGTGGAAATTTAAAAAAATTATTCGTTTCCAAAAATAATAAAAATGTATACATATAATAAAAAAATAATATATAAATTCTCTGTAAATTTACATGTGGTGTTATCCACCGGGGCCTTTCCAGGACATTTTTGAAAATTAAATTAAAAACTAAATAGAACAAGATCTATCCCGAAATAGCTTTTTGAAGAATGTTAGAGTGATTTCCCTTGTTTAAAAAAGAAAATGGCTTCCGTTGCAGACAATGTAGAAATTAAATAATTGTTGGAATTTTTGTTGGATTTTTAACAGATTGTGCAACTCAATAAGATGAATTCTATTTCAAACCGAGGGATGAGTGATGTCTTAGATGATTTTGTGGGTTTAGATGTTTTTGACGAAGAATGTACATCATCTAAACGTCCGACATGCGATCGATGCAAGTATGTTAATTTTAAGTATTTAATGGCCAGCAGAGTCTGATGCACTTATTAAATTATTATTAAGTCTAAGTCATTCACTTACACTTGATACTCAGTGAAACTGATTAATTAATCTGAATATGTACTTTTTGCGTGATCATTCTTGTCCTGTTGTGTGTTAGTGTTACTGATAAGTTATTGCTTCCTAAAGCTAAAGACAAAGACGAAAGTCTAGTTCAGTTGTTACAACTACATGACAAACAAATCATTCATACATGTTACAGTTACATGATGGTACATTTTATGAATGTTAAATTTAAATGCATTTTTTTTAAAAATATGATTCATATTATATTCATTCATTTTATAATTTATTGGATCAGACTTTGACATTCAGTGACACTGACATCTCATACTCATTGGTTGTTGTTATTAAAGTATAGCCTACTTTTTTAAAATTTTATAATTTATTGATTATTGAAACTGATTCCCTAGAGTTGCACCAGAACGATTTACTGGGTTAGAATGATGTCCTTTCCCATCTATCACGGAGTGCCTGAGAGCTATTTTTGCCAAAAAATAATCATAATCTGACAACAGATAGTTAATACGAAATAAATTTAAATGACACTTTCCATTCAGTTTTGATTAAAATTCAACTTATGAGGTTCAATAGAAATAAAAATAGAAACTAATCATTGCTGATACCCAAAGATGAACACCAAAAAAAAAAAGACAAGCACATAGCATGGTTAAAAGTGCTGTTTTTATATTGGTTGAAAACAAAGTACCTGTATCCACTATCCCTGTTGCGTTACAGCCCATGTAGGGCTTTGGCCTGCCTGACTACTTCCTTTCACTCAGACGTAGCTAAGGCTTTACTTTTCCATGCTTGGATTACCAGTTGTTGAAGATCTTTTTCCATATCATCCATCCATCAAAGCCTAGGTCTGCCTTTTAGTCGTTTTCCTCTGGGGATTTGATATCCATTTATCGGTATATAATGTCACAATCTAACGGGACATTTCAACATTTCTGGGAATGGGTGACCTCTCTCCCAAATTTCATTTTAAAAAAATAAGAAACAAAAAAATTTCTAGGGAGAGGAGACCCCAGAATATGATATACATGTGAGAATCACTGTAAGCACAAAATTTAATTGATTTTTTATTTTAGTAACTTATATCATATAGCAATACAGGACACCAGCATTGTAAATTGAAAATATTGGTTAATAATTAAATTTCTAAAATGATAGCGGACAATTTTTAAAATTAAATTCGCCTAAACATTTATTTTACGTCTTTGGGCTTGGCCTACTGCTACTACAGTTACATTGGGCTACGCTGGCTACATACCTTATCTGGCTACATACCTTATCATCCAATATTTGTTACAATTCACTTATATTTATTGACCGTTGTATTATTGTGCATCTATAGGACTTATCATTATTACAAAGGCGTATAGGATTAGTTATGACTAGGCCGATTATAGGATATTTTTAAAGCCTAGGCCTACTTACTTATCCAGTTGACCTATACACATAGGCATAGGCCTACTGAACCTTATAGCAGTATGTAGGCCTAGTAATGGTAGTGTGACTAGTGTACTGTGATGTCTGACTTAGACTAAAAGTCTTGTTGAAAACACCCAAATAATGTTTGGCTAACAAAATGTATCATTTAGGTTTCGATTTAGGTTTAGGCCTATTCGATACCAATATTTATAAAATATATAATTTGAAAAACTATGCCTGCTCTTGTTCTTTGTTTAATTCCAATTGCAGTACTAATTTTGGTTAAAATTGGGAACTTGCCAATGATTAGGCAGACGTTTGCTCCATGGCTACCATTTTTTGAAAATTGATTTATTTCATGGTTTAAGAGAGCATATCAGTGATCAGGGTTGATTATATGAATTAGATATTTTCATTGTTCTGAAGGGCTCACTGAACAATGTTTGTATATTAGGTCTATTTTTGTTTAGGTCAAATAATTAATATTCCTAAATGCTGACACACACTTTTCAACTCATTTCAGTCATAATACTGACACATACTGTTCAACTCATATCATTCATGGTTCATATGCTTTGAGATTTCTGCATTAAATCAAACTGTCACAATCACATTGTCTTGTAAATCATACCAGAGGCGTAGTGGTCTAATAGTGACTAATACTTTATTACACACGATCACAATAATTATAATAGTCAATATGAACATACTAAATCCAAAAACACTTGGAATGTATCATGCGTATTTCAATACTAGCTTCTCGGTAAATTTCTTTACTTGATTAAGTGTTAACACACTGTAAATCTTAATTTAAACATAAACGTTTCTGTTCAATCTTCTTACATAAATATTGTAGATTAACTGCCGTATCATTCAAGCAAGCTCCATTTTGTTTCCGTCCTTGCTCTCTTCTGATTAGCCAGTTTTCTCTAAGTCCCCATACTCTGTATATTCCATAAGTAATCACTCCCAAATTACTTGAGTAAAACAGAGTAGGGTTAAACCTGAAAAAAGAAACGCAACAAAACAACGAACGTTTCGGCAGAAAGCCTTCGTCAGTGAACAAAACAACAGAAAAAAACGGTATAAAAATAAGAAATATCACTTAGCTTTGACATAGTATCCATGAGCAGCAAGAGAAATGTGACAGAAAGTAAGTGAGGGAGAGATTAAATAGGAAAGAGCGAAAGAAAAGAGGAGAAAAAAGTCCACTGCGATAGGTCAGGACGTTGAGGGGCGGAGCAAGGGTCAAGCTGTGAAAAGAGACATGACATTATCCCATGTGGTGTCAAAGTACCATAAGTCAGGATAACCTGATTGCAGTCTCTCCCCTAATTACCCTCCCAAATTACTTATTTCCCATATATTCATATCTGTGACACAAACATCCATGTTGGTTTTAGTAGATATGTCCAACACAAAATAAACTATTTATAATAAAGTAAGACCATGTCATTTATTTAAGTTTTATTCCAATTGTAGGAGACCACTCACTGTTTGCTGGTGTCCATTTCTTCCACACAAGCCATTGGCAATAGCAACAAATTTGTACATTTTACAGCACCCCTATGAGGTAAAGTCTACTGTAACTGTGCCATTGAGACTAGTATGAAAACACCAAGTACCACTACACAATGCACGCTAGTATGAAAACACCGAGCACCACTACACAATGCAGGCTAGTATGAAAATACTGAGCACCTCTACACAATGCACACTAGTATGAAAACACTGAGTACCACTACAATGCACTTCATCATTTTATTTAACATTTTAATTTTAAAAACTCTGCCATTAATTTACTTAACCATGTCTGATTGTAACTCAAGTACATAAATTGTTAAATATAGGAATCCCGATGTCTGCGTACAGTTCCTATTTTACAGAACAGCATTGTTCCAGAAAAATGCCAAGTTATAAGAGGGAAACGATTTTCTCAATCAAGGTAATTAAATAATATAAGTATTGTACTCAAATTGTAATACTTTCTTTGAGAGTTGGACTCAAATCATAACACTATCTGTGAGAATTGGACTCAAATCTTAACACTTTCTGTTACTATAACAAGGTTGCTTTGTTATTCTTAATTAATAAAAATCACTATATATGAAACTTAGCTTACAGAAAAAACAACATATGCACATACAGATATGTTTTCCCCCCAGAATAAATGTTTCATTTCAGTAATCTGTAAGTAGTAAATTCTTTTTGACAAAACCACGTTGATGTTTTAAATCAAGACTATTACAGAATCATGATACCTATATTTATTAATGTGTGTTGCTCATCAATAACTATATTTCCAGATTCCCAGAGTTAATTTCTGTGTTTGATTCATCAAATACCCTGTTATTATACCCAGGAGATGATGCTGTGGATATATCTGAGGTACCCACTGAGGTCAGCTACAATTTGGTGTTTCTTGATGGTACATGGGCACAAGCTAAGGGCATCTATTCACAAAATCCAATTTTGAAAACTTTAAAAAAAGTGAGCAGAGAATAGCTGAGATTATGCTATCATATAATTGTGTTGTCAGTTGTGCTGAATGATGTAATCATATAATTGTGTTGTCAGTTGTGTTGAATGATGTAATCATATAATTGTGTTGAATGATGTAATCATATAATTGTGTTGAATGATGTAATCATATAATTGTGTTGAATGATGTAATCATATAATTGTGTTGTCAGTTGTGCTGAATGATGTAATCATATAATTGTGTTTTCAGTTGTGTTGAATGATGTAATCATATAATTGTGTTGAATGATGTAATCATATAATTGTGTTGAATGATGTAATCATATAATTGTGTTGTCAGTTGTGCTGAATGATGTAATCATATAATTGTGTTTTCAGTTGTGTTGAATGATGTAATCATATAATTGTGTTGAATGATGTAATCATATAATTGTGTTGTCATTTGTGCTGAATGATGTAATCATATAATTGTGTTTTCAGTTGTGCTGACTGATGTAATCATATAATTGTGTTGTCAGTTGTGTTGAATGATGTAATCATATAATTGTGTTATCAGTTGTGTTGAATGATGTAATCATATAATTGTGTTGTCAGTTGTGTTGAATGATGTAATCATATAATTGTGTTGTCAGTTGTGTTGAATGATGTAATCATACAATTGTGTTGCCAGTTGTGTTCAATGATGTAATCATATAATTGTTTTGTCAGTTGTGCCTATGATGTAATCATATAAATTGTTTTGTCAGTTGTGCCTATGATGCAATCATATAAATTGTTTAGTCAGTTGTGTATTGGGTAACTTGTAATGCTATTGATGTATTTCTCCAATGAATAAGATATTCTGTTTTCCCCTTCACCATGACAGGTACAAATAAAAGTTGAACAAAAAAGCAAATATGTGATACGCACCCAACCCAGTGATCTATCCTTATCTACATTAGAGACGGCTGCCATCGCCATTGCAGCATTAGAATGTAGGCCTGAAATCTATGAGGTGAGCTAAACGTCAACTATTTAGTTCATCAAATTGCTTTTTTTCAAGACAAGTAGGTGTTGAGATTGTTTACAGTAGACAGTCAAGTAGAGTAGTTATGAGATTGTTAACACAAGACAGTAAGTAGTGTGGGTATTAGATTCTTTACACAAGACAGACAAGTAGTGTGGGTATTAGATTGTTTACACAAGACAGACAAGTAGTGTGTGTATTAGATTGTTTACACAAGACAGACAAGTAGTGTAGGTATTAGATTGTTTACACAAGACAGACAAGTAGTGTGGGTATTAGATTCTTTACACAAGACAGACAAGTAGTGTGGGTATTAGATTGTTTACACAAGACAGACAAGTAGTGTGTGTATTAGATTGTTTACACAAGACAGACAAGTAGTGTGGGTATTAGATTGTTTACACAAGACAGACAAGTAGTGTGGGTATTAGATTGTTTACACAAGACAGACAAGTAGTGTGGGAATTAGATTGTTTACACAAGACAGTAAGTAGTGTAGGTATTAGTTTCTTTAATGAAAACACTTTGCTGTTAAAGTTGAAACTTTGTAAATTTAGAGATTTCATTGGTGATATAAAAAAAAACATGCCAATAAAAACAGCTTGATTTTTCTAAGAGAGAATTTTTGGCAGTCAAATTCGTTTTTTATTACTTTTCATCAGTAGTAGTTTATATTAAATAATCTAGAACTGTTTATGTGCTAATTTCTGTCTTATCTTGTTGAACTGTTTACATGCTGATATGTGTCTCAACATGGTTAACTTTTTATATGCTGATATGTGTGTCAACTTGGTGAACTGTGTATGTGTGAAATCTGTCTTAAATTGGTGAACTGTTTATGTGCTGATATGTGTGTCATCTTGGTGACAATATTCTCAATTTAACTTGTTTATTTCAAAGACTTGTTGAACATTAAGATTTGTTGCTACTAGCATTGCTGTATTATCTGTCAGATCCTAAGCCATCCCCTTGTGGCTTTGTGCAACTTCCAACTGCAGCACGGGGCGGCAGAGCATCAAAGTAAAGAATACAGGGTGGAACACGGTCTGTGGACTAAACCTTTACCTCGGTCGGTACAGAAGAGACTGGCACAGAAATGGGCGAAAGAGAAAGAGTCTTGTATATAACACTGGCTGTAGAATAAGTGCTTTTGTATTCAGTCAAGTAAATCTTGTGCTTAATTCATTAAAAAAATTGATTATAAAAGCATATTTATAAAATGTTTGCGATATGTTTTGGGTACCTCTGTCATTATGTTTGTCTGACCATTTCTGAACATTGCTACCAAGTTGCTTTATTCTTTAATGGCATGTGTCAAATGTGTTCATCAAATATTAGTCCATCAAATCTCTCTCTTGTAAAATGAACTGACATGTATTTGTGTTCTACTGTCCTGTCATTTTCTATGGTTCTGTCATGTTCTACTCTCTTTGATGTTCACTGTACAGTGATGCAATGGCATAGCTAGGGATTTGGGGGGCTAGGCCTCTTTATGGGCCCCTGCATTTTGACATTCAACATTATTTAATGTAAAAAAAATAAATTCGGACACTCCTTTGGAGGCCCCCCTCAAGTAGTGGCCCAGGGGGGGACTTTCTAATTTGGCCCCCTCCCCTAGCTACACCACTGCTGTGATGTTCTACTGTGCTGTGGTGTTCTACTGTGCTGTGGTGTTCTACTGTACTGTGGTGTTCTACTGTACTGTGGTGTTCTACTGTACTGTGGTGTTCTACTGTACTGTGGTGGTCTACTGTACTGTGATGTTCTACTGTACTGTGATGTTCTACTGTACTGTGATGTTCTACTGTACTGTGATGTTCTACTGTACTGTGGTGTTCTACTGTACTGTGGTGTTCTACTGTACTTTGGTGGTCTCCTTTACTGTGGTGTTCTACCGTACTGTGGTGTTGCTACTGTACTGTGGTGGTCTCCTGTACTGTGGTGTTCTACTGTACTGTGGTGTTCTACTGTACTGTGGTGTTCTACTGTACTGTGGTGTTCTACTGTACTGTGGTGTTGCTACTGTACTGTGGTGTTCTCATGTACTGTGGTGTTCTACTGTATTGTGGTGTTCTACTGTACTGTGGTGGTCTACTGTACTGTGGTGGTCTCCTGTACTGTTGTGTTCTTACTGTGGTGTTGCTACTGTACTGTGGTGGTCTCCTGTATTGTGGTGTTCTACTGTACTGTGGTGTTCTACTGTACTGTGGTGTTCTACTGTACTGTGGTGTTCTACTGTACTGTGGTGTTGCTACTGTACTGTGGTGGTCTCATGTACTGTGGTGTTCTACTGTACTGTGGTGTTCTACTGTACTGTGGTGGTCTACTGTACTGTGGTGGTCTCCTGTACTGTGGTGTTCTACTGTACTGTGGTGTTCTACTGTACTGTGGTGTTCTACTGTACTGTGATGTTCAACAAGTTATTATAAATGAAACAAACTGGCCATCTCCTATGGCTAATGTTAGATTTGTTCAGTTCATGTTCAAATAAACTTGCATTGTCTTTCATGTTTTTACTAACCAAATGCATTTTTGTTTCAATGTTTTCAAATGAGGGCTTCAAGTCGATGATCTACTTTAGTGAAAGAATTAGTTGATGCGTCAATACATAATACATGCAGCTCATGTATGCATTATGATTCAATAAAGAACAGATTTACAAACAAATATCTGATTTGTTTGTGTTTTTTTATGTCTGCTCTAAGGCTGTTGATATGTGTGAGATAGCTGATTAGATAACTGAAACATTGACCAAGTCACTGACAAGATGACCAGCTGACTGACACATTGACCAGCTGACTAAAACATTGACCATGATGGTTGACACTTGATCTACTTTGTTTTGATTACCCATGACAACTGTCACAATTTATCATACTTCCACTAATTAATTTTTGTTGTTTTGGGAAGTTAATGTTGGGGATAGACAGAAAGATCTATGTGTTAAAAGACATGGGGGGTAGACATAAAGATCTGTGTTAAAAGACATGGGGACAGACAGAAAGATCTATGTGTTAAAAGACATGGGGACAGGCAGAAAGATCTATGTGTTAAAAGACAAGCATTTAATGACTTGACAATTCATTGTGAAAGGAACAATATTCTTTCAACCAGGTAATGATAGGAAAGGGAAAGTTTATTGTAGGCAGGGCAAGTTTATTGAGTGCAGGGCAAGTTCACTGTGTGCACGGAAAGTTCATTGGTTGTGTTAATACAGTATTTACTAGCATCAACCCAGGCACTGATCAAATAATGGTACCGGGTATTTAACTGTTATTTTAGTTTAGTATTTGGTGTTTTTAATGAAAGTCTTTCTTCTTTTTTTGGCTATGCTTACCCGTTGGTAAGAAGTACAATCATCAGTTTTTACTCCCTTACTCTTGTTGGCACTTTACACTTACTATATGGTATGTACCTTCTTTTTTACCCCTTGTCCCACACAAACGGACACATTCTTCAGCCTAATAATAATGTTTCTTATTTGATATTTCAAAAGTGCATTATTTATTGCGCCCCTTTCCCCAAAGCTTATGTCACAATCGCGAGCCTGGCAGTTTGAACATATCATTTGCCAGTGCTGCTACTTCAATTCTGGTGACCCATAACTATAACTTTACTTACTTTTGTATGCCCGTCTTTTACCCGTCTGTGCGTAGGTTGTTCACAAGAATCTTCCATTCATCATGTTCCTGTGCGTTCCTTTTCATTTGCTTCTTGGTGTATCCCATACTTAGCGTGCCTGCCTCTAGCTCGCCTCTCCACGTATTCTTTGGCCTTCCTCTCTTTCTCTTTCCCTGTGTATTCCCTAACATGGTTAGGGATTGTCTGGTGATGTTATCTGGGGGTTATAGGAGAGTGTGCCCTATTCACCGCCATCTTTTCCTTGTGATGTCTTCATGGGGACCTGGTATGTCCTTTCCAGTAGATCTTAGTTGGTGATGATATTTGGCCATTTGATGTCCCGGATCTTTCTAATGCAAGTGTTTATGAATGTCTGTACTTTCTACGAAATTCTCGCTGTTGTTTTCCAAATTCCTGCTCCATATAGTAAGACCGTTTTGACATTTGTGTTGAAGATTCTCTTTGGTTTGCATCTTCAGCTCCTTCAAGTCCCATATTTTCTTCAATCAGTTAAGCTTAAAGCATTACTTTTCTATGAACCAATCACAGAACTATAGTTAAATCATTACTTTTATGTGAACCAATCACAGAACTTGAGCTCAAATAATTATCTTTGTAATCAAATTTAACCTTAAACCTCTTCACTGACCAACCCATCACCCTTTACTGTCAAAACCCGACCCTGGCATTTTTCTTTGTTTAAATACACCTACCCACCCTTCCCCTCTTGGAACCTGTAAAAGCTGGGGGGATGGGGAGATGGCGGGCCAGCGATTAACCCCCCATGATAGAGACGGCTACATGTTGTGCGGAGGGGGGGAAGGTGGCGGGCCAGCGATTATCCCCCCTACCATGATAGAGAGGTCTACATGTTGTGCGCCATGGAATCAATAGAAGCCTCCTCCAGGGGATCGCGGACGTTAAGGTCCTTGGTAAAACCTCTTAGGAGCCTAATTGACGTCATTAATCTTGGATGACAGTCGAACGTGCTGACAGGCATCATAACCATGTGGAGAGGAACCATATCCGTATCCATGCGGGTTGGACTGAAACTTCAACTATGCAGGAACCCATATCCTGTGGGTTGCATAGGCACCAATACCCTGTGGGTCGTAATGGAACCAATACCCTGTGGGTTGCATAGGCACCAATACCCTGTGGGTCGTACAGGCACCAATACCCTGTGGATTGTACAGGAATCAATACCCTGTGGATTGTACAGGAACCAATACCCTGTGGGTTGTACCAGAACCAATACCCTGTGGGTTGTACAGGAACCAATACCCTGTGGGTTGTACCGGAACCAATACCCTGTGGGTTGTACAGGAATCAATACCCTGTGGGTTGTACAGGAACCAATACCCTGTGGATTGTACCGGAACCAATACCCTGTGGGTTGTACCGGAACCAATACCCTGTGGGTTGTACCGGAACCAATACCCTGTGGGTTGTACAGGAATCAATACCCCGTGGGTTGTACCGGACCCAATACCCTTTGGGTTGTACAGGAATCAATACCCTGTGGGTTGTACAGGAATCAATACCCTGTGGGTTGTACCGGAACCAATACCCTGTGGGTTGTACAGGAATCAATACCCTGTGGGTTGTAAATGAATCAATAACCTTAAATCTGCCCACTTTGAGCCTTTGTGTCTCTCAAATCTAAATGATGCAATTCTTCATCGACTCAAACACGTGCACTACTTCATCTAAATCACATGTGTCAAACTCAAGTCCCGCGGGCCACATCCGGCCCGCTGTACAATTATACCAGGCCCGTGAGGTCTTGACCAGCGTACAGTTATATCCAAGTCAACGCTATGATGTTTCCCAAGCACACTTTGCTGAAAAACTGAGCTTACTTCGCGCCGAGTTCGCATGGAGCTTTAGTGACTTTGAAACACAGAAATGTAATTTCCAGCAGTTTCATATCCCATTCGTCATAGACGTGAAAACTGCACCTGTAAATTTGCAGATGGAGTTAATAGAGCTGCAGTGTAAAGGGACACTAAAGGCAACGTACGACACAGTTGGGCCAGCACAGTTTACTGGTTTCACTCCTGAAGAGATGCCCCAGCTTTCTCTACATGCGGCTCGAACCTTGAGCATGTTGGGTAGCACATATCTGTGTGAGCAGCTGTTTTCTGTGCTGAAAATTAACAAAACATCACACAAGAGTCGTCTCACTAAGGAACACTTGCATTCCATTATGAGAATCTCAATGACAGAATGTTGCTCCAACATAACCGAACTTACTTGTTATTGTAGCCAAGAAAATGTGCCAAACATTGAGCTCTGACAAATTGGCATAAGAACGAAAATAGGCATGCTAATGATTTTTAATTAGTAAAACTTTTTTTGTTTTCATTTATGTATAAATGTTTTAAGAAAAGATTAATTTTCCGTTTATTGAATGCTTATCTTGCTCGGCCCGCAATCTTACATGTGATTTGAGTTTTGGCCCGCCGAGCGATTGAGTGTGACCCCCCCTCCCCCACCCCTGATCTAAATGAGTCAATTCTTCATTGAGTAAAACATGTTGACTACTTCTTAATGTTTTTCTTTTCTTCCATTCGCCATCGGTTGCCAATCGCCCGGCGTGTTATTGATGATAACATCTACTTCATCACAGCCTCACGCCGCCATCTTGTCAGGGGACACAACAACCAATGTAAATCAATTATGTCCCGTCATTATTTTCTCATCACGTGACCCATGTCATGGGGACGGCTAGAGTTCTCCCAAAGTCAAATGGCCATTTTATGACACGGTATTGATTTGTGACTGATCTTATTTTAGACCTTAATGATCAAATAAAACTCACACACACTGGAGTGGTTTTAAAACGGTCATCATATCCCCCACTGTACAAGTAATTGTTCGTTGCCGTTCTGTGCTGTGTAAGGCATTGGTGGTTGGTTCGATTATTATATGAGTGATTAGGTGAAAACTTCCATTCTTCACCTATTGTTCAAATAGCACTTATATGAAGTCACTTTGTCATCTACCCTCTCCTAACCACAAGCCCTCTACTACCCACACCTCTCTCCTACACACTCCTCTCTCCTACACACGCCCCTCTACTACCCATACCTCTCTCCTACCCATGCCCCTCTACAACCCACGCCCCTTTACTACCCACGCCCCTTTACTACCCACGCCCCTTTACTACCCACGCCCCTTTACT